CCCCCTTGTTTCGGACTCCGCCCACTTACACTCCATTGAATGCGGACTCATAAAGCTTTGAAAAAGGCTCATTTTCCATTTTTTTATGCGCGGAAAACTTAAATACGGGTCACTTATGGCGAGAAGGCCCCGAAAATGGGAATACTGGAAAATGAAGTTTTCCCGGACACTGCCTTGAAGTCTACACAGCTTAATATTTTTGAAGGGATAGGAGAGGGCTGCGCACAGGATTTCGAGCTACTCCATATGACATTCCCCGAGGAGGTTATGGCAGATATGATGATTATGATGACTTTGTACCGCCCACTAAGGTTGCTTCATCATAGTTACTTTTGACTTCTGAATTTTGCGGCTTTTCTACACTCTCTTATTTGTGGATCGGTGTAGGCAACAGCTCCATTTACAGATTTTCATGCGTGGACTACCTTTCGACGCCGATTCCTATATGATTGAGCAGTTCTTTGCACCTCTCCGATGTCTTGAGATTAGTGTAAGTGGAATCCCATTTGCCTCCTGAGTTAGCTTTGTGAGAGCCCATGTTTAGCTGGGTTTCAATGATGATCGACGACCTTCCGGTGATGCAATGGTTGAATTTGGAACTACGGCTGAGGCTCGTGAGGCTTTTACGAGGAACAGAGCTATGATGGGAAAGAGGTTTGTTTTAATGCATTGGTAGGCGCCAGACCAACTGATTGCCTGCTTCTGCAGCAAAATGCGCGCAATTAACGTCATTTGGCGTAACGTTGGACGATATTGGACCTCTTCAATTTTCGTCCAACGTAACGCCAAATGACGTTAAATCTGCGCGCGTTTTGCTGCAAGCAGGCAATCAGTCAATCTGGCGTCAGAATCTTCTCAATAAGGTAAAAATAATGCGAATTTTTCAGATATGTTGAGCTTTTCGGTGCAAATGACATGCCAACGACCATGAGGCGACTAACTTGGCGCGTAATCGGAGGTCAGCCCGCTCCCAGACCCCTTCCTTTAGTATCTAGGAGTGAGTAGTTGTGATAAATGATTCTG